GCTTCGTCCACGGCCTCACCACCCTCACCGGGAAGAATTTCTTCCTGATGTCTCACCTAAATCTGCCCTCTTCCAGTTTAAAGCCCTTGCCCCTTGTCCTGTCACTCCAGGCCCTTGTCAAAAGTCCCCCCCCAGCTTTCTTGTCGGCCCCTTTAGGTACTGGAGGGCTGCTCTGAGGTCTGCCCGGAGCCTTCTCTTCTCCAGGCTGAACAACCCCAACTCTCTCAGCCTGTCCTCACAGCAGAGGTGCTCCAGCCCTCGCATCATCTCCGTGGCCTCCTCTGGGCTCACTCCAACAGGTCCACGTCCTTCTTGTGTTGGGACCCCCAGAGCTGGACGCAATACTGAAATTTAGATGCCTGCAGCACTCTCAGGGGCCTCTAAATCTCAGCGTCCCAGGGCAGAGGTGAAATCATCTTGTTCATGAAGATGTCGATACCGCTGGGGCTGTTGTCAGTGTTTCATATATCTGTGTATTGTGGTCGGGGTGCAAGGATGCTACAGGCTCTTGTTTATCCACTAGTTCATCACAAGGTGCTACACTGGGCGAAGTGAATAGGCTGGAGCAAAGTGGAGATGTTATTAAAAAAACACCGATCAGACAGGCACAGAAAGTGAGGAAGAGGAGAGCCCGCGGCATGTCTTAGTGCTGCTGCTGGAGGGTGTTTCAGTTCACAGCTGAGCCGCCTTGCTTTGGTTTTCTAAACGTCTCCCAGCTGCCTGTAAGGACTTCAGGAAAAGGCTGATCTGCATATTTTCAATACTCCTTCTGACAAACCTTATTTAAATAGTTTTATGTAGTCTAATTTCTTCTTTATTTCCATGCATTTTTCTGTGGGACATTTGTATGTGGTGCAAGGTGCTCACCAAGGCTTTGGTAATAAAATACTCGACTCTATAACATCTCAAATTGCTGAAGGCTGTTAGTGCAGTTGTTTTTAACATGAGCCAGCAAAGAAAGATGAATGTTTTCCTTGGTCAGATATGAACTGTCAGGCTTTGATGTGTTGATGTGTTCAGAGAACTGTCTTTTGTAAACTGGGGGAAGATAAGGCTTAAATGTGAAATATGAAGATACACACATAAAGACCTTTGAGGTATTTAGGGAAAAGTTAGTCACTTAAATGATTTGGAGTTTGTCTTCCTAGTAAAATAGAGAGCAAACCCATCCTGTGGGTACTGTGTGTCTGTGGTGGTACTACCATCTTTGTAAATAGGGTCCGATTCGGTGCCTACGAGTCAATGCCTGGGCACGAGTGGAAGGGGCTTTGGTTTCCCCTCCTCCCTGCCGTGACTCGATGAGCAAGTTATGTTCAGCATTTCTGTACTGACAGACTTGGAAGCTTTGCTCAGCCTCGCAAGTTCAGGGTCTCAGGGTCGTTCCAGCTCTTACGTTAACAAAAAATCTCCCTAAAGAGGAGTTTGAGGAGCTAGTGCGAATTGTCTGACATTTGAAAACAGGACAGCACTCTGATGTGTGAGTCCATTCTTGATCTTATATGTCCATCAAGATGCAGAAAATTCCCATTGTTCTGTTTCTTATATTGGAAGAGTTAGATCAAAGCAGTAAAAAAAAAAGGAATATTCGTGGTCTCCTGTTTGACTAACAGTTTCTGTTATCATTTGGCCTCTGAGTGTTATATCACACAATAATCTATTTTAAATATTTTAGTTTAAAGTTTCACTTTTGACTGTGTCATTTTCTTCTCGAATTTCAGTATTCCCAGGAGAAATCATGGATGAAAAGCTGTCTTACAAAGAATTTCTTGATCGAAATGACTCCTGGACGATGGACGACAGAGACCTGTGCTTTGAATCACAGCCCGTATTCAAACCCATGGAGATGGCGGGTATGACTGTATTACTCTTAAATCTGTTCCTCTGTCAGTTGTGTAACATCATAGAGTCCTAGCCTCTATCCCTAAGGGTGGTTTCGTTCTCTTGCCTTGTACTCACGCCTATGTTCTTTAGGATGTGTTGCTCTGTAACACCTTGACACCAGAGTTAACTTAGCACACCGAGCCCCTGACTTGCCCTAGGGCGCAGTCTAAGCTGGTCACAAACGGAGTTGCTAGTCCAGGCTATTAGAGCACCCAGAGTGTGGGCGAGCAGATTTCCCCTGACTTGGCTCACATGGTGACAGCAGTTTTTGGTTAACTCCCACAGTTTAACCGCTCTCGGGTACCAGGGCTTTCAGTGCAAACCTTGCCAAAATTGTTGACGGCCGAAAGGCAGTCTTCTCTGCCTCTCCGAAATGCCAGTTCCAGCTGTCACGTAGCTGCATCTGCAATGCAGGTTGGGCTGTTCCAGAGGCAGCCTGTGTAGCTACCGACTCTCGTGAAAATTAGATGAACCTTTTATAACTTGCCCCTGCAAAAAGATACCCTTTCATCCAACAACTTTCACCCAGTTTTCTCTCATTTTTGAGAAAGCTTATGGGAAATTACTCCCTAGCTCTTGGAGGGTATGAGAAACATATGTGCTGCCCAGATTATAACAGGCAATAAACCTTCGAAAGATACTGGCTGAAACAGGATGAAACTTCTTTTATATGTTTTTGAGTACTGTGGGCCTGCTTACTAAATTATTTTCTTGCTATCTGAATCTCATATTTACTTTCTGTGAAGAAATTATAAGTTGTTACAACGGTAAGAAACGATTCATGGAACAACTGGAACAGAAGAGCCACTAGTTTCTAAAACACAGTTGTTGGTTTTTTCCCTCTCATTACTTTGTTAAATGAAAGAATGGGATGTTGATGTAGTTACGCTCAATAGCCAGATGGCAAACTTGCTCATACCTACATAATGATGCTTACATACCTAGCCCATCACCCAGTATTCTTTTGACCTGAATAATGTGAATCTGTGGGTTATCTATTGCACGAAACCACATTTCCTTCAGTTCCATCTCCTTGGATTATCTTGCGCATCTGTACACGTGTAAGGTAGCACGTATACTCCAGTATGGAAGTGTTCCTCCGTACTGCGCTTCCTGGTAGTGTGTAAACAAGAGATGCTGCGTAGAGGTTAGTCTGTTCCCATAACTGAGCAGAGGGATCAGAGAGCATAAACAAGCTTTAAGGACTTGTCAGCAGAAGGAGAAAAACGTGAACAGCAGACTCATAAAAGTCTACGAGTTTATGAAATACTTTTATACACACTCCTTGGAAAACAGTAGGATAATTTCCCTCCCAAGGAGAGAATCCTCTGTTCAGTGGTGTAACAGGTCTCCCGACCGGCATTGCTGTAATTCCCTGTTCCTTGGTGAGAAATATGGGAAATGCCAGCTCTGCAACTTCTGCGAGCAGCTGAAAGGGTGCGTTTGAGTCTGCTCTGGACTTTGCTGTTCTATGTTACAAACACTGCGTTGAGATCTGGCAGTGGGACCCAACCAAAGTAACAGTTATGAGCAAAAACGTACGTATATGTTTTACAAGACTTCTTTGAAAAATGTTACTGTAGTGTAGAATGATTAAAACTCAAACATTATCTAATTTCTTGTAAGCTTTGAAAGTGCTGCAAGGCCCTTAATGACAAGAGTATCGTGATTTATTACTGTAACTACAGATAAATATCTAAACGTGAAGAGCTCCTATTCAAATGATCTACCGTAATATGCTTTTATTAGTCCACAGTTATTGGCAAACTGGAACTGTGTCTCTGAACAGCAGAGGATATGAGTGTCTGTGGAAGTGAGCTGGAAGAAACTTCTGTAAAGGTTTTGTCCATCTTGCCTCCAAGCTGTCTTGAAATAGTACTGTCAGATTCTTAACATTTGTCTGGACTCATAATATTCTAAACAAGCGGCAAATTTTGAGCAAGTAGAGAGTTACTTTGAGGGTTCATTTAATGCAAGAACTGATAATTTCCTGAAGTGGCCATATCCCATTCATACAGTTCATCCTTACTCACTTGCCTTTCAGTTTTCAGCTGCAATGTGTTTTGCTGGAAGCGTCGCCTTGTCACCAGCAGAGCAGCATCACTTACCAGTCACAGAAGTCCTAAAACTTGGGTAGGGCACAGGCCCGCTTTGACTCTGTGGGGGATCTGTGGAGGTGGGAAACAAAAGTTCAGCTGTAGCTCCTTCCACTTCTCCCCTTTCTCCCTCTGGAGTGGAGACAGGGCTTAATCTAGGTTGCCCATTTTTGCCATGTCATCTAACTGCTGGACAAAGAGGGGAGATCATCAGCATCTCCTTTAGTTTTTAAACTGGTTTCAGTCATGATGTTTTTTTGTGGGTTTGGGGTTTTTGGGGGAGTTGTTTTTTGTTTTTTTTTAATTGGAAAAAAGGCAGTTATTTACTCTTGGTAATACTGTTGTAAACAGCCTGAAATTAAAATTTTCTACGGTTTACTCTGAAGTAAGACATTATCTTGGCATCTCAAATAGTCTGATAGATTCATAAAAGAATTCACATAGCTCACCTGATCCTGGAGCACCATGGGCACATGGACATTTGAAGTTTGGCTGTCATCCCCGCGGATAGCACGCCCGACATAAAAATGAATAACAGCCTTCAGCTGAATCTCTTCGAGTTGTGCTTAACTGGAAGAAATCTGTGCAGTGTCTGAAAATCGGGGTGTGACGGCCATTTTGGGAACAGAGAGTTCTTCAGCTCCTGGGTAATGCAACGTGTGAGGTGGTCGTGAGAAATATCACTTGTCTGCAAGAGGCTACTTGAGCCGAAACCTCTCGTGGCTCAGCTGTGCCTGTCTGGAGAGGGATGCAATGTACAGCTGGCACAAGCCAGCAAGATGTGTTAGGAGTCCTTGATCATAAAACACATCCAGGGATTTGTAAACTATCGAATAATTTGTTTGAGAGGAATGCCACCTTTCCTTCCCCTTGCAGTGTCTTGCCCTTGGCTGCGTTCTGGTACAGTGCCTAACTCATGGAAGGGTCATCTTTTCTTCGTTTTATTCTGTCAGTGAGGTCATCTGTCCACTCTCTGACTCATGGCGTTTCAGTTAAGTAATCCGTTTTATAAAACCCAGCATGGTGGTTCTCCCTGTCCTGTCTGGGTTTGAACGCCCGTGTGTTCATACTTGAGGGGAAAGGAGATGTGTGCGCACAAAAAATAAAACTTGCAGAAAAGGCATTTTCTCTTGCTGAATCCTCAGCTGCTGGAGTTCCATCTTTAAGTGGACAGATCAATGTCATCTGCAAAAACACGGACCGAAAGCAGAACAAAGCTAACGCATGTTAGACCAACCAAAGCTGACACAAATGGCTTGCAAATGTAGACTAAAGATCCTGACAGCCTCACCAATGCATCTGGTCTGGAACTAAGGGCGAAGGCTGCTCATCTGCCTGGGGACACTGGGAAACGTGTTCTTTTCCTCTCTGGCTTGTAACTTGGTTAAAATACTGGCCCATCAGTTAGTTTATACTGGCCTACTGTTTTGAGGGAGGAGAGCACGTAGCTTGCACAGGCTTTCTTTGGCCTGCTGTCGTAGAACCCTAGAACGGTTTGGGTTGGAAGGGACCTTAAAGCCCACCTCGTTCCAGCCCCCCTGCCACGGGCAGGGACACCTCCCACCAGACCAGGTTGCTCCCAGCCCCATCCAACCTGACCTTCAACACTTCCAGGGATGGGGCAGCCACAGCTTCTCTGGGCAACCTCTGCCACGGCCTCACCACCCTCATCGGGAAGAATTCCTTCCTAATCTCTCATCTAAATCTGCCCTCTTCCAGTTTAAAGCCCTTGCCCCTTGTCCTGTCACTCCAGGCCCTTGTCAAAAGTCCCTCCCCACCTTTCTTGTCGGCCCCTTTAGGTACGGGAGGGCTGCTCTGAGGTCTGCCCAGAGCCTTCTCTTCTCCAGGCTGAACAACCCCAACTCTCTCAGCCTGTCCTCACAGCAGAGGTGCTCCAGCCCTCGCATCATCTCCGTGGCCTCCTCTGGACTCGCTCCAACAGGTCCCTGTCCTTCCTGTGCTGAGGACCCCAGAGCTGAAGGCACTAGTTAATTGTCAAGTTAACTGATCCAGAGCTCAACCATTGTTCCTGACTCAGGTTAGCTGTATGTGTCCATCAGATCAGAAACACATGCTTCCTCCATGAGAGAAGGAGACAGGTTCTCCATGCAACAACTCGTAATCTAAACTTTTATCAGTGTTCCCTAGGAAGCAGTCTGAGCAACTGTGTTTTACTGCTGGGCAGAAATCCTCATTATGAAAGTGTTTGCCACTGGTAAATAAACTTGAAAGCAGTTTTCCCTTGGAAGTCCAGTGGTGGTGTCAGGTGCATCTTCATCTTGTTTTTTAAATAATCTTACTCTGTACCGTGTCTTCCCCCTGTGTGGTGACACTGGCCTTGTTCTTGTCTCCTGCCAGACCCCTTCAGCATGCACAGAGGGGAGAATCTGCCTGATTTATCGTTTCCTACTGACATGAAGAATGTGCCGCTGTTCACGGACCATGTTGATGCTTCCAGAGACATCCATGGTGAGTTCCTCCTCGGTGTTTGCCCCTGATGGTCAGGTTTTGGTGTTTTCTCTGTTGACTTTCAAGTACTGAAAATTACTAAGCTGATAAGTTCAGAGACTATATAATCACTTCTTTTCTTTTTTTGTGCCTCTAGCCATTCCAATAGCTACTTCGAGGAAAGGTTTTTTTTGAAGTGTGTGTAGACAGAAGGAAATAGGACAACTAGACAAGTTGAGTTAAAGCAGGCATTACTGATGGCTCTTGTCTTCATGGCTAGAAACCAAATAGGCGTGAACTGTTTCCACAAAGTGGTCTTCAGTTTTTGGACTGTTGGAGTTCAAGTGGTAATTAACAAGGATTCATGGGAGCAGAAAGCAAAAGGGAAGTAATTTGACTGTGTTTACTGTCTTATACCTTGTTAAAAAGTTATACATAAATACATAATTTACAATGCAGTTTGTAAAGGTGAGCTAACTGAGAGAGCTGCTTTACAAACTTTATCTAAACTGCTTGTGAGCAGAACAGACTAGTTTATTTTCCAAGTGTTGTAGAGACTTTAAATTTTGGAGGGGAGTCATTAGGGCTAGCATGGTGATTAACAAGTGGCCTTTTATTTCATTAGCACCACATGGACCCATGATGGTACCTGAACAACCTTTCTTGGGGCCCTTGTATTCTCCTGCAGAGGCTCTGGACCCATCAGCCTTCATTGGCCTGGATTCAACTGCAGAATTTCTGCAAGACAGAGCAGGTAAGAAACAGATGTTTTGCCATTACTGTCTGTCTTGCTAGCTGGGTTTGAAGGCTATGCACCTGGTTTCTAGCTTTTACAGGTTTACTGGTCCTCAAGAATCTTGGTGAGGGAGTCGATACTTTCTAATCTTGACTAATTTTATGTATCCTGTTGGCGTTGACAGTTCTTGGTTCAGTGTGAATGTTCTTATCTTAGGAGATCACAGAATGGTTGAGGTTGGAAGGGACCTGTCGAGGTCATCTTGTCCAACCCCGCTGCTCAAGCAGGGCCACCTAGAGCCTCTTGCCCAGAAGAATTGAGGAAAAAACCTGCTGTCTTTGGTCCTGGCATCAGTGCTGGTTATAACTCTTCTCTGGTGCAAGCTTTCACTAGCAATAATCACAGAAGAACTGTGATGTTCTGATACCCTTCTTAAGGGGAACTGAAAAGTTACCTGAGAATGAACTTGCGAAACAGCAAAGTCAATACCTTCAACTGAAAAAATAAAGCGATGCTGGTGTCATTGGCAGGACTAAATGTGTTTGTTTTCTGTAGCGCCTGAAGAACATTGGATGGGAGCTCAGCATGACGTGAAGGGACCAGATGCCTCTTTCTTTGTTGAGCCACCAGGTAAAAACAGTTTTGACTTGATCTGCAGGAACTGTCTAGAGAGAGTTTCTGAACAGCAGAAGCAGAGCTTCTCTCCCTGTCAGCCTTTTCCAGAAACACAGCGCTGTGATGGAGTGAAGTGGGATCTGACCAAGAAAAACAGTTTCTGGTTCTCAGATCGATTTAGAATAGAAATGCACGTTTTGGAGAGATGTTACCGAACACACATTTTGTGGTTTAGTGCTGTAAGGGGTGGGGAGAACCCTGCATTTATACAGACTGTTTACTTCTAATTTAGGGTAACAAATTTAATATATGCAGTTCCAAGCCCGACCGTCAGTAGATATTAGCAGCATGCCCTTTTGGGGGCATATTGTGTAGCAGGGCTCTAACTCGCTGAAAGCATGGCCTTTTCATGGGTTTTGGGGAATTAAGTTAGCAGATGTAGATGTGTGCAAAAAAATACGTTCAGCAGCAAGCTGTGTGGATTCCAGACTGTGTCTCCATTCTGTGCATCTCCATTACGGTGAAGATACCCTAATTTCCAGTTGGGATGCGTATTCAAGCATTACTTGACACTAAAATAAATAGGTTGAATAAAATTTACTCTTGAAAAGAAACTCTAAAACTGGAACTTTACTGCTGTGAGGGATTCTAGTCTTCGTACACACTGAGAGTCAAGTCTGCTGACTTGAGTGATAAGTCAGAGCACTCGTGTTTACTGCTTCTAAGGGTCGGTGCAGCTGAGGGCACCAAGAAACATAATTTTGGCTCATGCATAATCAATAGAATTTTAAACTAAATTCTAATTGCAAACCTGTGTATTCTGTCCAATTATCTTTAGACTCTGATTACAGTTAAATCTTTGAAGCTCCTTTGGGACATAATTCCATTGCGGTTGCATGTATATTACAATATTTGATTCATAATGGGGTGAAGCTCCTTTGGGACATAGTTCCATTGCGGTTGCGTGTATATTACAATATTTGATTCATAATGGGATCTTTATTGCCAATTTTGGTGAACAAGCTAAGAAGAGAGTAGTTTAACACTGGTCCTAGGTAGAAAGTATTTCTGGAGCTGGTGGCTCTGCCTAGAGCTCAGGGTAGAACTGGGAGGCTTTGTAACTGAATGTTCCTCAACTTTGTCACAGCGGTCGCTTCTCTCAAGATACAAGTGTTTTCCTAGGTATTGCAGAAATTAATTTTCTGAAAATTGACAATAAAAACTAATTCTGTTTTGGCCTGATCCTACCGGGGTGCTGAAGTGGGACAGCTTACTCAGCAGGGTTGCTGCTGCAGGCGGCACCTTGAGAGGGTGATTCACATCCTGGCAACTCCAGAAGAGAAAGCTGTTTGCTAAGATCTTTCTGAGTGCTTAATCAAACTTTGTTTTGTGTGCCCAGTGCCCCCCACAGTGACTGAAGCAATAAACCCAAATTTGCCGGAAAGCCCTGTGGCAGTGGCTCCTGGTTTTGTTCCTCCTGCAGTAACAGCATCCCCAGGAGAGGCTGAAGCTACTGATGGACCAAAAGTTGTGGCATCAGGTAAAGTTGCTCCAGTCTAAAGATCGGTGCTGGGTTTAGGCCCTTCATGAACAAGCTGTAATGGTGGAAAGACATGGGATTGCCTCTTCTGAAGGTGTTAACAAATTCCATTGTGTCTAAAGATTTATGATACCTGAATTGTGTTGGTGAGAAATAGCAAGTCTATGAGACTTTTCAACTCTTGTGTCACAGGCCTGTAACTGGTTTAATAATTCTTTACTTTCTCAAAATTTTAGCTCCAGAAAAACATCAGGGTGTGTTAAGAATGCGGTTATACCATGAGTCTGATGCTGTGTATAAATACCTGACAGACTCTGTTTTAAAGAGTCTTTAAACCAGACAGTTTTTAAGGTATTTATACATAGCATCAGACTCATGGTACATTTTACACCAGTCTTTGTCCAGTTTCTTTGTGCTTTATTCCAGTACTTTCCATGATTCACAAGGCAGCATCCATACCGCTTTTAATATCTATCTCTTTACTGTCTTATTCTTCTGTAAAATTACAATCTTTAGATTTTTTTTTTTTTTGGAGAGGATCATGATATCACCTCCAAAAAAAAAGAAGTCAAAACTAAATGAGAGCTAGTGCATAATGGATCTTTTTGGTTTGGTTCACTAGAGTATTGGTTTTATCTAAATGGATCCTGAAGTGCTATTTTAAAAGGGACTTTTTCCATTTTTCTAATTTCTTTCCTTTTTCAGTTTTGGTATCTAATTTAAGTTTTAATATCTTTTCCATTGTCTGGGGAGGATATTTTTAGATGTGACTCAAACAATCAGTAGAAATTTTTATTTTTTTAACGTCTACTCAGCAATATATCTGAGATGTTCAGGTCACTGTGCTGCATTACACGGGCTATGGGTAGTGCTTGGAGCTGTTGAAATTAAAGCTGCAGAAGAGAAGCCTAGTGCTTGTGCCTTTTGATAATTTGTAAAAACTTGCCTCTAGACAGCTGAAATGTTAAACTAAAACTGACTGAAAAAACTCCTTTAAGGGGTTTTTATGAAAATGCTAACGTAAGTGCAGAGGTTTGATTGTACTGTGAACTGACAAATGTTATTTTGAAACTAACAGCTCAGTGTTTAGTAGACATTATGTAAAAAATGAACGAGGCCAAGTTGGGCATGAAAGAATAAAGGGCAGTTGGTGATTCACTGGTTGGCAGTATCTTCTGCGTCAAGAGTGCCAGTGCTCAAGTTGCAGCACCATACCACCCGTGAACAGCATAACCAGTATTTAAAGTGAAGTGCATCTGGCTGTGGAATGTTTGAGGACTTTTTCCGCTGTTGGAATACACAGCTGGGCTCAGAAAGGTGACACCAAAAGTTTCTGTGTCTTGCTATATAGGAAAACCCCCTCATTGTGATTCCTGTATATATTCTGTTGGAATGTGTTGCTCGCAGTGGATCCAGCAGCTCTGGGCTCTTGCCAGCTATGTAGCATCAGGTAGTTTTTAAACAGAAACAGCGCGTCTTTTGGCTGATGTATGTTAGGAGCAGGCGGATGTCTAACACTGTAGTCAAGGATACAAAACAAGGCACATGAGGCTGTAGTAGGAAAAGCACTTGGGTGCGTTGAGGAGCATCATAAAGACTAGTACAACTACCGTAAGGGGGGGAAGTAATGTGGTGCTGAAAGACAAGAAGAAAGACAGGGTGCGAAAGCCCCGTCTTCTCTAGTCGTAAAACCACACTGTCAGGTTTTTACTTTCTTTTTTTTTTTTTTTTTTTTTTCCTCATTGACCTCTGTGCTTGATGTTTCTGTAGCAGATGCAGTATGTGTTCCTGCCTCGGATGTCATGTCTGCTTCTGCAGAAAAAGCTGGGTCCATCCTTGCAGGAGACACCAAGCCTCCTCAAGCTCTGGATGCTGGATTTGCACCTACAGCAGAAGCCAGCCCTCTTCAGGCTCTGGATGTTGGGTTTGCTCCTGCACCAGAAGACAAGCCTCCTAATGCTGTCAATGATGCATCCACTCCAGCAGCAGATGTGGGCTTCACTCCAGCAGCAGATGCTATGTCCCATTATGCTACGGATTTGGAGTTTGCCCCAGCAGAAGATGCAGGTTTTGCCCCAGCAGCAGATGTGGAATCTCACCATGCTATGGATTTGGCATTTGCCCCAGCAGCAGATGTGGAATCTCACCATGCTATGGATTTTGAGTTTGCCCCAGCAGCAGATGTGGAATCTCACCATGCTATGGAGTCTGAGTTTGCCCCAGCAGCAGATGTGGAATCTCACCATGCTATGGAGTCTGAGTTTGCCCCAGCAGCAGATGTGGAATCTCACCATGCTATGGAGTCTGAGTTTGCCCCAGCTGCAGATAGTAAATCTCACCATGCTATGGAGTCTGAGTTTGCCCCAGCAGCAGATGCAGAGTTTGCCCCTGCAGCAGAAGTCAACCATGTTCATGCCATGGATTCTGGATTTGCTCCTGTAGCAGAAGCCAAGCCTCTTCCTGCCATGGATTCTGGGTTTGCCTCTGCAGAAGCTAAGTCTATCTCCGCAGCTGACACCAAGATTGCTGCATCTGAAGAGTTGATGACATCTGAGTCTTCTCTTGAGCAAGACAAGTCACCCTTTGACAAGGCTCCTGCAGGTGAGCGTGTATGCCTGAAAGCTTCAGTCAGGCTTGAAATAGCATGGCAAGTGGTGTGAGAAGGCCGCTGGAAGTTGGCACAGCACTAGCAGCAACACCCGCGGTAGCACACACTGATGGCTACACAGATGCACAGTTGTCTGAAGAGTGCCAAATAAAAAGCATATTTTTTTTTAGTAGTTAAGATTATGATATTCCTTGCACAAAACATCTTAAGTAGAGCTCAGTTCTGTTGTCAAGATACAGACAGAGGAAGTGCTTCACGAAAATTTTTCACTTATAAAACTAGAATATCTTAATGTGTTTGGGTTTTTTTGAGACTTGGCATTCTTACCAATGTTTTTTAGGACAGCCTTAGACTTTTTAGTTCGTCCCTGTTAGTACTTACTTTTGTATCACTATCATCCTCAGCTTATACTGAAATCTCCACAGATCCTGTGGGATACAGTGTTTTCTTATCTTGAAAACCGTTTCTGAATAGACTGATAGGCTTTGTTGATAATTTTGTGACATTTCCTTGGGATGACTATAGGCGTCAAAGTGGTGAGGCAGGCATTGACTTTTTAGTTCATCCCTGTTAGTACTTACTTTTGTATCACTATCATCCTCAGCTTATACTGAAATCTCCACAGATCCTGTGGGATACAGTGTTTTCTTATCTTGAAAACCGTTTCTGAATAGACTGATAGGCTTTGTTGATAATTTTGTGACATTTCCTTGGGATGACTATAGGCGTCAAAGTGGTGAGGCAGGCATTTTCGTTTTTTCCCTGTGATGGACAACAGATTTGCTGTGCTGCATAGATTTCTCAAAGGACACTATCCTTTCGGAGAGAAAATTACTTTCAAAATATAGCAGATGGTACTGGGCAGAGGCAGTATATGTGGATTGATTGCAGGAGGAGTTGAAGTGAGAGATTTTCTTTCTTACCTTCTAGTAGTCTTTAGTTTAACGATAGGAATCAATTTTAAATGAGAGAAGTTTTAACAAAAACAACCCTGGTAGAATGTAATAACCAAGAGGCATAGGTGGGTGCGTGAAAGAGTAAATACCAGACAATGCAGGAAGGATATGCTTTAGCAGAACACTTAGGCTTTCAGGAGGGGAGAGCTGGTAGAGAGTGATCCCAAAAAGCAGGTTGCCACTGTTTTGAAAGTGAGGAAGACCTTTAGTTTCTTGTGGAAGGTAAGAATTAGGTGAGGAAGTGGTTTTTATCTTGCTTAATCTGATCTAAATTAAAAAATAATAAGAATTTTTATTCTTTACATTGCATTTGTAGAAGCAACTGCAAATGTGGAACAGGAATCGAAAGTCCCAGAAGCTTGTGTTGATCTTTTAGAGCAGGCTAAAGACAGCAGACCACCTCCCAGCCACCATGAGGAGCATCTTCCAGAAGAGACGAACCATCTTTCCGAACCAGCGGGTGAGAAATGCAAACCACATGATAAAACTGGAGCCAACACTTTGCTATCAGCTAATTCTGCACCCCCCCTCCCCCAAGTTCTTCCTCACAGGCACTGTTCTCCAGTCCTTATCAAGGAAAAAGCAAGAAAGGTTTAATTTCAAGAAGGTTATTAGTGTGTGCTGACATGGGGACTGTTATAAACAGATGGTAGTCTTAACATTTGAAATTACCATCATATAACTTGTCTTTGTCTTCCTCATCCATAGTTGTTGTACCAATGTCTGTCATAATTTTTATTTCTATTTAAAATTTAAATAAAATTAATTACATATTGAACTGTTCTCCAATGTAATTATGTCTTACAAATTAAAACCTGTTATAGTTATGTGTAGCTAGGAATCTTGTAGTGTCTGCATGAATATATTCTAAGGTATATATGAATGCTAGATGATTAGCATTAGCTAGGGACTCTAGACTGATAATGGAGTATATTCTGGATTTGGATTCCCGTGGGAAGCTAGTATAGTCTGAATTTGGTTGATTACAAAGAGGGGGGGAAAAAAAAACCCAAGCCCTCACCCTGTGCTTAAGCCCCAAGACAGTCTTTGCTTCGTGTTTTACCCCCACCTTGGCATGTCTGCCAAAACACAGAGTTGCTGCTTAAGATGGGATTGCGAGGAGATAATACGTAGTAGACTACCGTATCTTATAAACTTCATTCCTATTAAAACCAAAATAAAACCTATACCCTTTCCAAGGGCTTGCTTTTGAACTGCAGGTTGCCTGTATTCATAAGAACTGAAGCATTCTGTTCCTGTTTTTCATCTTTCAGTTTCAGTAGAAGCAAAAGAAGCCGTTGCACTAGAAAATAAAGACCTGCTTCCAGAAAAATCTGTTACTAGTGTGGATGTTACTGTTACAGAGAAGCAAAAGGAGGAAGCTGAACACAACCATGTCCAACATGCAGAACCTCAGCAAGAAAAAACCCTGCAAGAGCCCACAGGTAGAATATAAATAATAATTCAATTTTAGAATGGAAATATTCTCTGTGAACTCTTCACCTTTTCCTGCTGGCTGTGTTGCCACTTGAGCAAGCAGAAATCTTTTTTGCACTAAGCAGCTGCGTGGTTCTCTGCATTCATCGGTGATTCTGCTTGCACTTTACCTCTAATCCCTGCCCTCTTTAAATACTCTTTTCCCCTCCATGTTCACTGGACTAAAAGCCCAAATATGGGTGCTACTAGTATTTTATCACTGGGACTGGCTTCCATCTTTTCTGCTGTAGAATTTGGAAGCTCACCATCTTTTTGCCATTACCACTAGCTTTTTATTTGGGTATTAAAAAGGATCATTAATTCTTATTACAATATTCCTAGTGAAGACCTCTTTCCAAATTGACTTTTGTAATTACCAAAGGAAAATGTAATTTTTTTCCTGCTCCACTAACCCAGCCTCTCCGATGAGCTGTTATTGCTTACGCTTGTGACCGGAGGCTGATTTGTGGGCCAGGGCTAACTGACAAATGACTGATGCTCTCTTTAAAATCGGTGGCTTGTAGCTAAGGAAACCTAGCGCTGCCTATAATGGAGTACAGCAAATGACTTCTGTTACAGAGGTTCTGCCGTCCACTGCTTCCACCCTGGGTGCTGTGGGAAACTTAGCTCTTTTGCTCCCCCTTCCTCATTATGCCCCTTCTCTCTTCCCTAGTCTCATCTTTCCACAAAACTGCTATTTTCACATTTTGGAAGGATGCCAGCTAGAGATATATAAAAAGTGTATCTGTTACCTCGTCTTGCTAAGATGAAATGGATCCTTAATGCGTTTTTAAAAAGCGATAGCATGTCCTTACAAGAACTGTTGCTTTTTGGTGGGGTAAGAGCATGTATCAGGAATTCTGTCATTTTAAATAGCATTGATGTATTTCTTGGTAGTAGGTTTTGCGTGTAAATATCTCTCCCAGCCCTACTGAGGTGGCTTTAGAATTAGTGTGGTATCAGTGCTGGAAAGTTCTGCATATATGACCATATGGACTGTTTTAGATGGCTAAAATTACATATACAGTATATTTATTTCTTTAATAAAGCAAGTAGTCACTTTGATGTTTGAGCAGGCTTCCTGTATTCCAGGTCTACCTACTGCACAAATAAGGCAAGCTAACAAATCAAGTGAACGCAGGTTTGGCAGAGCAAAACCTGCACCAATGCCCATTACAGATGTACCAGAGGAGCGTCTAATAGGCCTTCCACAACAGAAGAGTACTGACCCAAAAGTAGACCCCTGTTCTGTAGGGGAACTTGGATGTGTTGCTGGAACATCCCCTCGCACTAGGGTTTCACATAAAAAGGCAACTGAGCAGCCATCCAGTGTGCCGTCGGAGTTTGTGGAGAGCTGCAGAGGTCTACCAAGGGAGAGCTGGGATTTGGAAGGTTCTCTGGGCATTGTGAAGAAAAAGAAAAAGAAACCAAAACAAAAGAGAAACCAGCTGCCAAGAACAATGGAGTTCTGGGATGAAAATGTAACAACAGTCTCAAGAGCTCCTAGAAATTCTCCATTTGCTGTTGAATTGCAAAAACCAGATGTCTCTCCTGTAATGCCTGCTGAAGCTCGCAAAAAGCAGTCAGTTGCCTCAGGAAGCAGAGCTTCAGATATGCCAAAGGATGCTAAAATAATAACTGGAAGTCATATCCTGGATGAGCAAAATGCCTTCTCAGTGCCAGCACCAGGACAGCAGGCCCAACACCCCAGCGTGCCATTAGAATCTGTGTTGAATGCAAAAACTGAGGATGTCATGAAAACAGAAGAAACGAGAGATGACAGTTTGATGTTGCAATCTAAAGGCAAAAGAAAGGAGGTTCCTTTGGAGCAGGTAGGCAAGACCAAGGTGGGGGAATCTGTTACAGCAAAGGGGCCAACCAAGCCCACGGAAAGAGATTTTCTGGATAAAAACGAGAAGAGGGAGTATAAGGAGACAGAACGTGCTGACCTGACGGCGTCTCTTTCAGAAGTGATCGATCTAAGCAAAGTAGAAACTCCTTTACAGACCAAACCTTCAGAATTGCTCCTTTCTGATAAAGATAAGGAGGCTAAATGCACATCTCCCAGGCGTGAAGCGTTCAGTGATGCTGTCCATCATGAGCTTCAGACTTCCAGTGGGTCACTGGAAGCAGCAGCAAAGAAAAGAGGTAGCTGTGAAAAAAGCAAAGGGATTGAAAATGGGTCCTTCCAACAGCCTGCGGCACTGTTGGACAAGCCTCCTAACAAATCCAAGGCAGCTGATGAAACTAAAATAGTGTCCTCTGATACGTGCATGGCCATTGACTTTAGTACTTCAGAGGGGATATTGAAGACCCCAACAGATACTACTAAAATGCCTGTTTCACCGTTAGTTTTCCCAAAACCTGAGGAAGTTACTGCTTTGCAAAACAGAAAGGCTGATGGTTTTTCAGAGCAG